TTGGGGCGCAAGGGACTCGTCGTGCTCCCCGCGCCTCGGGAGGCGTGCCGCCCGCGCTGCCCCCTCATCCCGGCGAGCCGCTCGCGGGCACGCCCCAGACCTCCCGGGAGAACGCCCCGATGGCCTGGAAGACCCGCAGCGGGGCGGGCAGCGCCGCGGGGCCCGCCTCGGAGCTCCCGCCGCTGCTGCCGCTGCCGTCGGTGTCGCTGCCCTCCCGCGTCGGGGACCTGCGGACACCCGAGGTCGATCCAGAGCCAGGCCCGTCGGGCCTCGCGGGAGCCTGCAGGATCCTGCAGGATCCTGCACCCAGACCCGGGTCGATGCGACCCCGGCCCTGCGGGACCCTGCAAGCTCTGGCGCTCTGGCCGACCCCCCCGATTGCACTGGCCCCCGTCTCAAGGCGCCCGACCGCTCTCCCTCGAGGAAGTCCCGGGGGCTGTAGCCGCAGCTCCGCACGCGCGCGGCCACGACGACGCAGAGCGTCACAGAAGCGCCCACGATGGCCGCGCGGCGAGGGCCCATTCCCAGGGCGAGGTCCACCGCGAAGACCAGGAGGCCTATCACAGCGCCCGCAGCCACGGCCGTCACGAAGATTACGGCTTGGCTCAGGTGTCCATAGGCGAAGTCGGAGAAGACGGGGAACGCGTGTACCATGCCGTCTGCGACGTACTCGGTCACGCTCACGCCAGCCTGCCGCAGGCGCTTCCCGAAGAGGGCGTTTTGGTCGGCGATGCTCTCCACGCTGCCGTAGATGAGCAACGACCGGGGAAGCACACCGAGCGAGCAGGAGAGGGAGGGCGAGACTAGCTCGTCCGTCGCCAGAGCCTGCCCGACGTAGGCGTGCGCGAAGTGCTCGGCGAGGTCCGCCGGCAGATAGTCCGATTGCCCGTGCCAGCTGGGGCTGGAGAAGTCCGACAGGTCCACCCACGGCGACATCAGCACGAGGCCGCCTGGCAGCGGCAAGCCCATCTGGCTCAGCCGCAGACACAGCGCCACCGCGAGGTTGCCCCCGGCGGATTCGCCTGCCACCAGCACCCGCTGGGGGGGAAAGGTGCAGATCACCTGCCGGTAAGCGTGGACGACGTCGTCCAGCGCTGCAGGGTACGGATCCTGCGGCGGCCTGCGGTAGTGCACCACGAGCACGGGGGCACGGGTCGCGCGGGCCACATGCAGGGTCAGCGAGCGGTGCGTGGCGGCGTTGCAGAGCACGAACGCGCCGCCGTGCACGTAGAGGACCATCCTGCGCTGCTCCTCCGGCAGCCCGGGGCACTCGGCTGGGCTGGCTGCGCCGCGCGCCCACAGCCACTCGCCGTCGCCGAGCTCAGCCGCAGCGTCGCAGGCCTGCACGGTGGTGTCGCCGATGCTGAGGTACGCCTGCCGGAACTGGGGCAGGCTCTCCGCAAAGTCCGTGAGCCGCTGCAGCGCCACGAGGTCCCGGGGCACCGTGACGCTCATCCGCCGCATGAGGCGCTCGACGGCCCTCCAGCGCGTCGGCCCGTCGTAGATGAAGGTCGGCGGCAAACGAGGGGGGGAAGTGAGAAGGAGAAGGCCTTCTCAGAAGGCTCGGAAGCCCCCCGACCTTCCGAGAAGTCTTCGAAGTCTTCCCCGAAGGCGCAGAAAACTTCTCAGAAGGCGCGAGGGCTTCTGAGAAGCCCCGCCGCCTTCTGAGAAGGCCTTCTGCTTCTCACTTCCCCCCTCGCTCGCCGCCGAGAAGAGGAGAACGCAGAAGTCTGGCACGGAGCAGACGACAAAGCTGACGCCGAAGCGGAGCCACCCGCACGGCGACGCCAGGCAGCAGCCCGCCGCCGTCCGCAGCAGCGACCAGCAGCTCTCGCGCGGCAGCCCGACATCAAGGCTGTTCGAGTAGGGGATCGACTACAGAATTTATTCACTCGCCAGAGACGAGGAACGGACAGAAGGGGAAGGGGGGAAGAGAGGCGACATTTCCAGATGGGCTTCCCTAGTTGTGCCACGCTTTGCCACGCTTTTGATGGTATGTATGATAATGACATGTGCACGTGCTGGCAAGACAACGCGGCCCGGACAACCCCTTGGACAACCCCGCAAGGATCCAGACAACCCCCCCAGACAGCCCTCTTTGGGCAAGCCTCCCCAGCATTTGTTCCATCTCATATAGCACCCCAAAACTGATGTTCTCGTCGAGTCATACGCAGGCTGTCTGTAGATCTGCAAAAACTCTGCGCGTGTCTCGTGGACTCGGCGAACAAATCAATGCTGGGGTAAATCAATGCTGTAGTCGATCCCCTCCTCGAGCTGTAGGCGTCGTCCGTGGCCACGGCCTGGCTGCCCAGCGCGGGCCCGGCGAAGCCCAGGTGTAGGGTGCACCTCGAGAGGGCAGTCAGAGGCCTCGCGGACATCTCCCCGGAAACTCGCCGAACACCGCCCGAAAACAGCCGAAGCGCTCCGAAGACCCACCCCTGCCCCCCTTCCCCCTCTGCGAGGGGGAGGAGGAGAAGGAGGAGGAGGAGGAGGAGGAGGAGGAGGGGGAGGGGGAGGAGGAGGAGGAGGAGGAGGGGGAGGAGGATGGGAGGAGGAGTAGGAGGGAGGAGGAGGAGGAGGATGAGGAGGGAGAGGGAAGTAGGAGTAGGAGAGGATGAGGAGGAGGGGGTGGGAGGGAGGAGTCAGGAGCAGAAGCGTATCAGAAGCATGGAGCAGTAGCAGGACGCAACGACCGCGTCTCAGACCGCCGGTGTGATGTACGGCCGCGTTGCTAGCGCCTGGTAGTCGTAGTATTTGTTGCATGTGGAGTGTGTCGTGTCTCGGCAATGCCTTAGCAGGAGCAGGAGCAGGAGCAGCAGCGGCAGGAGGAGGAGGAGGAGGAGAAGAGGGGGAGGAGAAGGAGGAGGGGGAGGAGGAGAAGGGGGAAGAGGAGAAGGGGGAGAGGAGAGGATGGAGGAGAAAGAGGAGAAGGAAGGGTGGCCGCGTTCGAAGCGAGCTCCGAGACCGACAGCGACAGCGACAGTTGGAGGAGAAGGAGGAAGAGGAGGCGGAGGAGGAGGAGGAGGCGGAGGAGGAGGAGGAGGAGGTGGAACAGGAGGAGGAGATGGAGGAGAGGGGGAGGGGTGGAAGAAGGGGGGTTGGAGGAGGAGGGGGGGAGGTAGAGAAGGGG